GCATGCATGCCTGCCAGCTGGTCTTCCCATGCGCCAGAGCCCCAGAAACCTGAAGATCAGCTGGCTGGTGCACATGCATGCAATGGCCACCTGGTCTTCTGGTTTCCAGTGCACACATGTGTGTTGCCCAGCTGGTCAGACCATGTGCCAGAGCCCCTGGTCTTCAGGTTTCTGGGGCTTTGGTGCATGCGAAGACCAGCCGGCAGGCATGCATGCGCATGCTGGAAACCAGAAGACCAGGTGGCCATTGCATGCATGTGCACCAGCCAGCTGATCTTCAGGTTTCTGGGGCTTTGGTGCATGCGAAGACCAGCCGGCAGGCATGCATGCGCATGCTGGAAACCAGAAGACCAGGTGGCCATTGCATGCATGTGCACCAGCTAGCTGATCTTCAAGTTTCCGGGGCTCCGGTGCGCATGTGCATTCCAGTTTAGGCACGCAGTGCTGAAAAGATTCACCATCACTGCACTAGCGTTTTTATATATAATTTGCTAGAAGTTGGTTTTTTCCAGCAAAAGGAAGCCAATGCCCTTCTTATTCTCACTTGGTGGATAAATAAAATGCGTGTGTAATATTCATATAGCCAAGCTAGAAAGGCACAATCGCTAACATTGGAGATTGATGATGGACAAAGGACCCCCTGAATTACTGAATTTTCCCACAAAATATATTGAACTTCTAGGGCATGCTGCCACCTGCTGGCTTACGGAGGAACTGCAGACTCAATGGGAAAAATAGGGCAATATCATGGAAACTTACATTGTTTGGGACTCTGGATGAGAAGGCAGTGCTTAGGGTATCCCAGGCTCATCCCAAAGAAAGCTCCATTCTACCACAAATCCTGCTCACCCATCCCCTCGTCACCCAAAATGAAAACCAACCGACAATTAATCATGGATTGTTTTCAGTCAGTTATCAATAGCTTTGTAGAGTACTCAGCTGCTTGTGGAAAAGGGAGATCAGTGGTGGGATTCAGCCAGCTCGCACCTATTCGGGAGAACCGGTTATTAGCTTTCTGAGCAGTTCAGAGAACCGATTGTTGGAAGAAATCTCACTTTGTTTTTTCTCCCTTAAGGAAGGCAGGAAGGAAACATTCTGGTATTGTTTTTAGCCTAATCTTTATTGCCCTGCTTACAGAAACTGCCTCTTTGGTTAACCCTCATTACATTGCAACAACTAAGGCGAAGCGCCCATTGATGTGAGTGATGTTGAGTTAGCCACACCCACACAGTCACATGACCACTGAGCCCCGCCTACCCAGCTGGTCATTAGGGCAGAGAACCGGTTGTTAAATTATTTGAATCCCACCACTGAGGGAGACCTCGTGAGTCTTGGCAGCTGGCCTGGTTTTCTCCCCTACATGGCAGCTCCAGGCCCCTGGGCTGGCTGGAGCTGACAGCTCAGCCCACTGTGATGTCATGCGTGGTGTGTCCCATTCTGCACTAGAAATCTTGTGGTGTAATGCAAAGAAATGCAACCAGAATCGTGACGGCCAACCTTTTAGGCACCGAGTGCCCAAACTCTTGTGCACAAATGCCCAAACAGAAAGGAGTGCACGCAAACACGCAAAATACACATGCATGCATGAACAGACATGCACGAACGTGCACATGTGTGCATAGGCAGCAGGGACCAGCTGGCCGGTGGGAGGCGGGGCATCCCAACATGGGTAGAACGGCAAGAGGTAAAGTCTTTTTCTATCGTGAATTTCTATTTCGTCATTTGCAGGGAAACAGAAACTCATGAAATAAATGCCATGGAGACCCGACCTGGGGTGACGGCGCATGTGCCAGCAGAGAGGGCTCTGCATGGCACCTCTGGCACCTGCGCCATAGGTTTGCCACCATAGAACTAGAGCAAAAGGCCTAGACCTGACCTCTCTGGTTTTTAAAAATTGGTATAAGAGTATCATCTTTAAGCCCCATAAGCTCAGATCAAGAACTAACTCATGTATGCGTACAATAGGCTAACTTGGATTAATTTTAATCTTGATTATTTCTTGGGCGGCTTATACCAGGTGGATGAATCCAGCTCGTTCCATTGTTTTATGATTCGACGTAATACAAGAATCCAGGAAATGGGCTAATTCAGTATTCAAGATGCATATGCAATATTTGTGAACAGGTGCCAATGTATTATTAGTGAAATTATTCACTAATGTATTTGGTTTCCAGCTACTGTATATACAATTTTAATTAAATGTCAGTGGTAATGAAATTCACTCAAATGTATTCATTGTCTGGGTTTACTTGGGTCACCAGCAAAACTACTTTTCAGCGTTAATGATGTGGCACATTGTGTGAACACCGCCAATTGTAGCTTCTTTTTCCAACCATGATTAAACAAGCTGTGATTCAGCACAAGGAACAAACTCAGCCCATATCGCCACAAATTGCCGTTCTGAAGAAGAGGATTCTTACAACCCAACAAAATTTGGTTTTCCAACATCTGTCTTTTATTCTTGGCCTTCATCCCTGCAATGGAGCCTCTTGATAGCTCATCATCAAAGCAGGATCCGGCTGGAATGTTCTCCTCCATGCTGCAATGCTCCCTGGCCCAAGAAGTTCCTACTGGCAGTAAAAAGTCAAGACGTTTTCCTGGTTGCCTCTGATCAGGATGACAGGAGACCTCAGATCTTGCGAGAGGGTCTCCAGCCAAGCCATGTAGAGGCTACTGGGACATCCCTTTCGGCCAACTGGCATGGTTCTGGAAAAAAGTGACAAGGAACAGGAGAAAGGAAACAAGTTTTCTTTCATATGAAGTCTTAATACCACCTTATAAGGCCTTGGTAAGGCCACAGTTGGAATCCTGCATTCAGTTTTGGTCACCACGACGTAAAAAAGATGTGGCGACTCTAGAAAGAGTGCAGAGAAGAGCAAGAAAGATCATTAGGGGACTGGAGGCTAAAACACATGAAGAACGGTGGCAGGAACTGGGTATGTCTAGTTAAATGAAAAGAAGGAC